GACTGTTATTCACGAAAAAAAGAAGGAAAGGATAATACAAGGAATGCCTCAATCATATTCACGTTTCACAAGTCTAATCGAGTTATTTCAAAGCAGTCTCAAGGCAAATTCTACTTGACAAGATTCCGACCAATATCACACAAGAAACAAAATAGGCTCAAACCTTACAAGGTAAATATGTTCATCAAAACAACCAAGCCAATTAATCAAAGTATGTTACTCGATCACATCATCACAACTTCTCAATTCAACCAACAACTATCAACCAGTCTTACAATATGTTGATATCCAGATCAGCCTCGGTCTAAATTAACCGAACCGGCCTAGATAATCGGGCAGGACCGAACTCTTGGCCGGGGGCCGAATCGTATGGTGGTAGATAGTGCCGAGCTGAGTGAGCACGAAATACGGTCGCGATGTCCCCTTGAGCCCCGGACTAGATCGGCACTTGCCCCAGACTAGATCGACACTTGTCACAACTGGTGCCGACCTGATAAAGGGACGAGTAGGAAAGACCGCCTGAGGGGGGCTAGGAGAACCCGATGGGTTCGGATGCCGACCTGAGAAAGGGCCGAGTAGGAAAGACCGCCTGAGGGGGCCTAGGAGAACCCGATGGGTTTGGGTGCCGACCTGGACAGACAGTCGGACATTTCCGAAGAAAAATACGAGCTCGGAAGAATATAATAATACAAGTGGCTGGGCAATGATCGCAGACAGGACAGGCCGACCTAGTTTACTCCCCCTAGAGCATCTAGCCAAGAAGAAAAGCTGATAGCATTAAATGCTGCCCATGTGAGCATTTAATGCCCACATAAGTAATGATTGGAAGACCTCAATTCACATTTAATGATATGTCAGAAAAGCGCCAACTAGGACTGCAGATTCACTGTGCGACAAGACAGTGAACAGTGCCAAAATAGTGGAATTAAATGATACTATAAATAGCCCATTGCTTCATTTATTTTGGGTTGTTGAATCCGCAACTAACTCTAGCTTCTTTCTACTTTCTCTCTCTAAAATTGTAAGAAATCTCTTGTAAGAATCGTAAGTATATCGCAAGTGCCGACCTCGTACGAGAGGCCGACCTCGTGATCGCTTAATAAAATTGTGATTAAACCATATCTTTCCTTTATTTCCAGTCCAACACTCTCAATATTTTCCATCTTAACTGTTGACCGAAAACGCTCGTCAACAGTTTAGCGCTAGAGGAAGGGCCCATAAGTTACTTGGTGTCAACGTTTCGACCTCGTGATTAACACTACATCACTTTTTTCTTCCATTCCCAATCATCTCCGCTCCGAAACTCAACCAGACATGACTTAATCCACTCACGACGATTCAACACAGTAATCCGGCGCTCAGTCTCGCCAGCGCAACGGCGAGGGAACCTCCCGCCATGTCCAAAAGAGAACTCAAGCCCCTACTCCCCCAGTCCCGACCTTCGTGGAGGCCATGCAGCACCCCGACGTCCTCAAAGCCCTCGAGGGGGTCTGCACAAGGGCGCTCGCTGGTCAAACGGTCGGGGACAACA